GTGGAATTTGAAACACTGGGTAGGAGCGTTTATAATTGTTTCAGATCATGTGACAACTGTTCTCTAAATAGGAGAGCTTGATTGAAACACAAGGTGGGTGATGTCAAACATGTATTTTTGATTTTTTGATTGTCAGATTGTCTTTCGTGATTTAATATGTACACGATTAAAGGAGAGTTTGATTGACTTTGATAACAAGTTTGAGAATTTGACAAGTCTGGTCTATGTGGAAGTATCCGACAAGAAATTGAAACCTGAGATTTACCATCTTCCGATGCAGCAAAAGAAAAAATCTGGTAATGCTAATAATTAATTCATTAAAAAGTATTTATTAATGATCGAAAAAGATTCTCAGGGGGCTGTTTTGAATATTTGCATAAATTTGAATTAATTATATCAAATTTAAATCATTTGTGCTGTGTGGTTATATTCCTGTGAAGTCAAACAAATAGATGCTTTTTACTTTCGGAATAGTGACATACAGACATATTATCTTGTGGCCGTATTTTCCCGTGCGAAGCACACCATGAGTGAAAATAACTTCCATACGCAGCGAAAGCCATGGGGAGGGTGTGGGTTCTGTTATTATTACATATGTTCCATATTTGATAATTTCATATTAAAGAAAGAACGTGCAACAAACCGGGATGGGATTTACGTTGGGAACCCCATTGCCCATTAATATGTTACAAGATAGTGTTACGCATTAGCAACGTGTGTAAGTGTAGAACGCGTGTCACTGTCTGTGGGAAAATAAAATAATCAGACGTCTAATCTGAGTCACTGTTCGAATAAATAACTTTAGTTGAGGCCACGACTTAAACTGGACAACTGTGATACACAGTTTATGTCGAAGTTAAAAGTTCCTCCACAGATGCAACTGCGGTACTCCACTGATGGGATGACTTTCGTTGACAGCGGTCATCACTGAGCTGCATGCTACAACTGTGTTTGTGATGTTGCTTGCTGGTCCTGAATTGAATGAGTCTTGGTTACCTGTTAAATGTTGCTCATTTGGCGTTGGTAATCTTTATTTGGAACTGAGTATTGGCTTGGACTGCTGACATTCTTGTGAACCAGAAAAAAATAGCAGACGAAATAGTTCGGTTGCCATGCATATCGACCGTGAAAATACCGAAAACATTATTGCATGGGTGATGTGTGAATTAGTTTTAGTCAAAATAAGTGACTACCTAAAAGTACCATTACCGGCACTGTTGTTCAAATTTCATTTCACTCGCCAAGTATATTCATGTTTTCCCAAGAGAAAAATATTGCACTTCTAAATATTGTATCCTTGGGGCGGAACTACGTCACAAGACGTTCCACGTTGCTAAGATGCCCACCACTGTACATGTATTTCTATGGGCTCTGTGCGCGCTGCTGTGGAATGCCGGTCGAGCCGGTGAAATTTGAGAAAACAACACAAACTCAACTTTGAAGTAATCCTGAACAACCAAATTTATATATGTTACACACGTAGGGCTAATCTTGTTACACTGTTCAGAGGAGTCTCAACAATCATCCCAAAGTACCATTTTCTGTGAGTTTTTATATTTTATACTAGATATTATTGTTCCTCCGAAGCCGAAAGTTGTTCCCAGGAAAAGGAGAAGAAGTAGCCAAAGATTAGACTCTGATGACGACGGTTTAACCGACTTTCCTGGCTGCATGTGCCGAAAGCTTTGTGGAAGCAGAAAGTGCAGCTGTGTGAAACTAAACATTTCGTGTACTGAGAAGTGTAATTGTAATTTGGAATCCTGTAAAAACACTTTTACAACACTTTCCTCAATGGGATATAATATGAAAGATATTAGAAATGATCCTTGTTTTATGAGGTACATCATTATAGGAATGGTAGGTATATATCGTTTGCACTTCTAATAGAGATAATATGGTACATGTACCTTTAAACACCATTCCTATAAATTGCGCCCTCTTGTGGCAAAGCGTTTCTGTAATGTCAAAATGAACATAATCTTTGTTGATGGATGACTACTGAGCAGAATATTATTGATAATTTGAATAGCTTTTGTGTCACACATTTATATCCTAGAAGCATATTCCATATTTATTCCATATAAGGCATAGAATTTGTCACTGGAGGGCACTTTTAATATGGTAGTTGCATGACAAAAAATTCTCAAAAAAAATATTTGAAAAAATATTGTATTTCTATGCTTGCCTCAAATGATCAATATATTTTATATTTCTATGGAACACTGGACCCATTTATAATACAGTAACTAAGACTGGTAATTTACAATGATACGCGTTACCCAATCCTGACAATAAGTTGTTTTACTAAAGTTTGCTTGTATAGTCAGATAGAATCATGTCACTCAAATTATAAACAAAAATAATATTTAATGTTTCAGAAAGAGGGAATATCTCTTGCAACACAGTTAGAAATAGAGGTAGAACTACCTTGCTGCAATAACAGATCTAAGGTGAAAGATTTGATACCTGGTACTGTGGACTGCAAACACTGCAGAGATCCTGTCAACAAACTGGAATACTCCTGGTGTTTCAGAGAAGTTAGTATGTACAAAGGTTATAGAAAGCATTGCATTGCATGTAAATCATGCATAAATGATGAAGACCAGTTTCATTGTAAGGTAATCCTCAACAAGAATAAAAACAATAGTTTAAATGTTTCAGCACTAGATGGTGCAATTTTGGGGTGAGCTTTTTAATTAACAAGGGTGGCTGTTTACATCTGTTTGTATACACCTTCTTATTGGCTACTATGTAGTGTTGATTTTTAGTCCCCGTTAGGACGCAGCGTGCGTGCGTCTGTGCATGCGTCCGGACCTGTATCTTAGAAATGCCTGAACCAATCACAATCAAACTTCACACATACATCATACATGATATTATACATATGCACATCAATTTGTTTCACGATCTGATTCAAGATGGCCGAATGGCGGCCATTTTTGTGCTAAAAATCATCAAAATCAAGCATTTTTCGGCTGTTTACAGATGGATTTTGTTTAAAATTGGTGTATACGTTAGACATTATAAGACCTTGATGCACATCATTTTATTTTACAATCTGATTCAAGATGGCCGAATGGCGGCCATTTTTGTGCTAAAAATCATCAAAATCAAGCATTTTTCGGCTGTTTACAGATGGATTTTGTTTAAAATTGGTATATACGTTAGACATTATAAGACCTTGATGCACATCATTTTATTTTACAATCTGATTCAAGATGGCCGAATGGCGGCCATTTTTGTGCAAAAAAATCATAAAAATCAAGCATTTCTCGGCTGTTTACAGATGGATTTTGTTCAAACTTGGTGTATACCTTAGACATTATGGGACCTTGATGCAAATAATTTTGTTTTTCAGATTAGATTCAAAATGGCCGACGGCGGCCATTTTGTTTTAATGAATGGGCTTCTAGAGCCATATCTCCGACTTGCTTCCACTGATTATGTTCAAATTTTGAATTTTCATTATACATCATGTCATAGATAGACAGATGTATTGGTTTGACGATTCTATTCAAAATGGCCGAATGGTGGTCATTTTTGTGCTAAAAAATCATCAAATATCAAGCATTTCTGGCATTTATGGATAGATTTTGTTCAAACTTGGTACATATATTAGACATTACGGGTTCCTGATGCACATCATTTTATTTGTCAGATCAGATTCAAAATGGCTGTCTGGCGGCCATATTGTTTTAATGAATGGGTTTCCAGACCCATATGTCTGACTTGTTTTGACTGATTATATTCAAATTTTTAATATTCATTATACATCATGTCATAGATATACGAATATATTGGTTTGATGATCCTTTTCAAAGTGGCCAAATGGTGGCTATTTTTGAGCTAAAAAAATCCTCAAATATCAAGCATTTCTTGCATTTATGGATGGATTTTGTTCAAAGGTATAACATACATTAGACATTACAGGTTCCTGATGCACGTCATTTTATTTTTCAGATTGGATTCAAAATAGCTGACTGGCGGCCATTTTGTTTTAATGATTGGGCTTCGAGAGCCATATCTCTTAAATGCTTTGACTGATTATATTCAAATTATATATATTCGTTATACATCATGTTATATATATATACATGTATTCAATGGCTGATTTTGAATGCTGTTCCAGAGCAATATCTCTCAATATGGACAAGTACTTGTTTGACGATCAGAGACAAATGTCAATCATATTAATGTTAAAAAATCATATACCTGACATGGTTATATTCCAGCTATATTACTATAAACAAAACTATATATCGAAAAATTTGATAACTAACAGGGAACTGTGCCATGCATGGCTTGTTATTTTGTGTTTCAATTGAACAATGTGAATATTTCCGTATTATGTGGAACATTACTCCAAGAAGAAGCTTAAACATAACATGATGCTGTTTCAGCTAAAAAATATTAGATTATATAAAAATCATATTTTGTCCTAACTTATTTGAGTATTTAATACTAGAGGGTTTTATCCTTCAGACAGATATATCTATAATGTAAATGACTGTTTACTAATTACCGATAGCTCATTTTTAAGGGGTTGTTATCATTTTCTACATTACTTATCTGTAAGTGCAGCATTTAATGGTGTACCGGATTCTGTTGTAACTTCGCCCTGTGCGATTTCACGGCTGGTATGCCTTTATTTGGGGTTCAGAATTTCAAAAAATTATCATCAAATATTTTTTAAGACTTCTATTTTCATTGAAAAATCCACCCACGTCGACTTTCAACGCAGGCAGTATGACCACCCAAGACGAAAGGAACCACTGCAGAAGTTAACCTAAAATTTGAATACATTTTTTTCTTGCTGAATTAAAAAGTAGATTGCCTAAAACTTCATTTTTCTTCAAAAAAATCACATTAACGAACCTGGTACGCAAAATACAATTATTTTTTTATATTTTTTTATTAGTAACGTAGTAGGAAATTCTAAAAGAAGTTTCAAATACAAACGAACACAACTGCATTGCTTAGTACATGAATGATCAGAGTAGCGTAATCCGGACATGCTGCATTTCACATTTGTTGATTATTACTTAGTGATTTTAATAACGTACAAAAAATAAATTGGTTGAATTTGGTACATAGATTATACATGTTAGGATACATGTCCTTGACTGTCCGTGCGTCTGTCCATCCGTCTGTGCGTCTATCTGTCCGTCCGTCCAGAGTCATATTTCAGAATCCTTTTGGACTGATTACGTTCATTTTTTGCATGTCCCTAGTACTTTATGTGGGATATATGCACATGCAGTGGTTTAGCGATTCGATTTGAAATGACCAACTGGCAGCCATCTTGTTTTTTGAAAATGTTGTATTTTGGACATGCTTTATCAGTTTTCATTCAAACTTTGTACATAGATTATACATGTTAGGATACATGCCCATGACAATTTCCTTCGCAATTGAATAAAAGATGGCCGACTGGCAGGCATCTTGTTCGGTTTTTTAAATGTAGTATCTTGGACATGCTTTGTCAGTTTTCATTCAAATTTGACACATACTTTATACATGTTAGAATACATGTCCATGACAATTTGTTAAAAATGACGGCCATCTGACATTTTGGCCTTACTACTATATTTCCAAGATTTATGTACCATTTTCATTCGTATTTGGCACATACATGTCAATTTGTTTCATAATCAGATCAAAGATGGCCGAATAACGGCTGTTTTTATTTTTGGCCATATTACTATATCTCTATATTATATATTACTATATCACCCATGTATCATTTTCATTGATATTTAGCATGTCATAAATGGATACATGTACATGTCAATTCAATTTCAAATAGCAATTTGATCAAATATGGCCGACTGGTAGCCATCTTGTTTGTTTAAAATGTGACAACTTAGAAATGCTTTCACTGATCTATGTTTTTCTTTGTTATGTCTTAACCCGGAGGGATCGTCACGCAACACATGTTCGAATTTGATGTAAATAAACAATCTGTTGTATACGCCACTTGGGACTCAAGTTTAAAGGACACGCTCGCGACAACCCCTCGGCTTTAATATGATAAGCACAAGGAGAACTTTCAAAAATTTAACGGGGACTGTGTCATTTTCAATGACTTGTTAACCAATCAAAATGATGGATGATACCAACGTGTTTAAATTACCATAGTTCATTTAAATATGTTAATGTTATTGAACGCAACACGAAAGAGACATGCCTATGTTGTAGTACGATCTTTTGGCTTGGATTTTAATGGAAAACAACATTTTTTTTTAAATCGAAAAATTAGTTGTTTTCAGAAGATAAACTGAGCATTTGAAGAATGATTTAAAATTGTTTACAGTGATAAAAGCTCATGGTCGAAATGAAGCTTACCCATTCACGCTAGTCACAATAAACATCATACTCTTGAATAGGCGTCAATGACTACAGTTAAACTTATTTTTTTTTCAAAACCCAAACTGCCGTATAATGGCCCAGGGGGAATTTACGGCAGAATCCAGTATATAATCAGAGTATTATACCAGACAGATTTACAAAGTGGTATTGCAAATCTAAATGAATAATGACATATGTTAAGCATTAAGGTTTCATGGCAGGAATTATTTTGTAAAACTACACTCATTCATTTTTTTTTGTATTTTGCAGAAGTGTGGTACATGCTGCATAAGTGGACAACAGTCTTTGGAAGTCAATAAATGTTCTTGCTGTGAAGAAAACAAAAAACAAAAACAAAACTGAAGAAAAAGTGTAAAATGCATGTTTGTAAATGTTGGCCTTATTCCTCTCTGGTTGCCTGGACGAACTAGTGTTTTAGTTACTAACTTGTTACATGTACATTTGTATATTCATTGCAAACAATATACAAACACCACTACCGGTACATCTTTGAAGGGAAGTGGTTGCACCACATGTTTGTGATAGGTAACCCCATTCTATGCATACGTGTGTGAATCAAGTTTGTTGTTTATTCACACAAATTGAAATACACTTGAAAGGATTTGATTGAGTCAGCCATTCTCTTTCAAGGACAGGTACTCTATATCTAATCTTTAGTATTCAGAAAAATAGTGACTACCAGTATATCATCTATACCATTTAACTATGGTAAATAAGTCAGATTATATATGACAAAGATTATTTATATTTAATTATATATATATTTTATATATACGTTGTTCGTTTTAATTAAGGATGATTTAATTTTAGTTATTTTTGATCCTAAGTGTTTATATAAGACAGGACATTTTTTTCACCCTGAAATTTGGTGTTTTTTTTGCTGCTTTTCTAACAGTTGATGTTTGCTTGTTTAACTTTTTAATACAAAAAATAGAGATGAAGTAAATGGAACAGCGTAAAAGATGGAATATTTACAACTTATCAGACTAAGTGGTACAGTTTGAACTGAACAAAAATTATTCCAAACATTCTAGGGGATCAGGATAGGACTGCAAAACAATACCATTGATGTAACCCAAAGCAGATAATTCCAACCAATCTAGAGGGTACCTGCAAACAATAAATTTGATGTAATAACTATAAATGGAATTGTACCATCATTCCAACCGTTCCGGGGAGGGGGGATAGTTAGGACTGTGAAACTACCGTTAATGTAACTCTAAATAAAATCATTCCAGCCATTTTAGGGGGTCCAGCAAAGATTGTCAATGCCTACTTTTGATGTTACCCAAATTGAAATCCCAGCAACCATTCAAGGGTGGTTCAGCTAGTACCAGAATGAAATTATTCCAACCATTCTAGGGGGTCCAGCTAGTACTGGCGTACAAACTTTTGATAACACACCAGAATGAAATTATTCCAACCATTCTAGGGGGTCCAGCTAGTAATGGCGTACAAACTTTTGATAACACACCAGAATGAAATTATTCCAACCATTCTAGGGGGTCCAGCTAGTACTGGCATACAAACTTTTGATAACACACCAGAATGAAATTATTTCAACCATTCTAGGGGGTCCAGCTAGTACTGGGTACAAACTTTTGATAACACACCAGAATGAAATTATTCCAACCATTCTAGGGGGTCCAACTAGGAATGCTAACGCACCTTTGATGTGATATATAACTAAATCATCCCAACCTTTGAGAGGGTCCAGCTAGGAATCATTTCGTTCGTTCATTCACTCACTCACTCACTCACTCACTGTAAAATACTTTATTTTACCTAATTATTATTCGCTAAAAAAACTATTTGGCTGTTTTGTTTGAAGTATGTTTATTTTCACTGAATTTTGATGATTTTGATGTAAAATAAATGAATGGAGGTTTTCATTCCTTCAGTGATAATAAATTCCAAGTAAAAATAAAGTACTTTACCTTATACATTCTTACCTGTAAGTTAATATGCCTGGAGGTTTAAAATTCCAAAGTACATTTTTAGCTCCCCTGTTAAATTTGGTGAGTGGAGCTCATCATACGCGTGATTGTCCGTCTGACCTCATCCAACTTGTTGAAAACTGCCTTGATATTATATATATAGATGCTACAGATGGACCTCTCTTAGATTTGTTCATTTTCTGATATTTTCAATTTTTTAATTGAAATGTGCATTGCTAACAGAGTAGCTATATCAGCCGACAGCTGCTTGTGATAATTATGCAGTTGTGCATTTGTAAGACATAGAACCTCACCAAACTCTGATGTTTGCATTGCATCATGGGTGAACTGACAGCAAAGGTGTTTAAATGCTGAAATTGTATTTGATCTGAGAGTCAAAATCTGTGTAATTTACGTCTTAAAGTTTCTTCTTGCTTACTTGCATTGTAAGTTGTTTTCATTGTTTATATAAATTAAGCTTGTCTGTTTGGTTTGTTTTTTATTAAATTGTTTTTGAAAGTTTCTGAAATGTGTTGTCCTGCCTTTCCAAAGATTTGTCCTCTGATACCAGTCAACCACTGATTCCGCACATTATTACCCGGTAGCAATCACATTGTACTTGCACAAGAATCTGACCACATGATAATAAGGTGTAATTTTACCATACTAAACTGGATATACTCAAAATGTTGGAACAGTTTTCTTTTACAATGCTGACTGGATTTATATTATCCTCGAGGCGGACATCCGGGTATTTTCGCCGCCTGGCAACCCTCGCGGTGAAAACAAAGGCCAAAAACTCTCAGAAAACGGTACTTTGGGATGGTGGTTGAGACTCCCCTGAACAGTGTAACAAGATTAGCCCTACGTGTGTAACATGTGAAAATTTGGTTGTTCAGGATTACTTCAAAATTGAGTTTGTGTTATTTTCTTGAATTTTCATCGGCTCAACCGGCGTTCCACGTCAGCGCGCACACAGCCCATAGAAATACATGTACAGGGGTGCGCGTCTTAGCAACATGGAACCTCTTGTGACGTAGCTCCGCCCCCTATTATTGCCTACCATGTGTGAAGAGCATAGTTGGAGTCTCTACAGTCAGTGTGTCTGCATCCTATGTATATCAAAGGTATGTGTCTGTTTCACTGATACCTCAATATCCAATCATTGTTTTTAAATGAAGTTGGTACATGGATGATCTGGGGGGTAATCCATTAATAAGTGTGTCAGAGGTTATAAACTTTGCATAATAATTACCTAATTTGCATATTAACACGTTTTATTCTTTTCCACTTGTTTTTCAAGAATTCAGATTTCAATGAAACTTGATAGGTGCTCTATAGGGAAGAAACTTGTCTATTCCATTTGAATTTTGCAAAGGATTATTGGATAGAAAACTGAACTGTAAAATACATGAGAGGTAAACAGCTGATTTTTACGTAGGGCTCTATGGAAAAAATGCGAGTTCCCCCAAACGCCCTCTACAGTTCAATTTTCTATCCAACAATCCTTTGCAAAATCCAATATGGAGTTAACACATTTCTTCCCCATAGTAATTCACAGAAACTACTTAGGATTGACATCCATTAATTGCCTAATTTGCATAAATTAAGCAATTCTGATATTGCTTTCTGAGATTCAAATGTTTTCTAGGATAAATAGCAGATGTACAATACAATTTATTAATTTTTCTTTAATTAGAATCTTGTTATTATAAACCTCAATTATGTGGATCGGATTGATTTCACATCGTACACACAATTAGTGCTCATCAAAGGGAAAGACAGCCTTGCTTTATTTTAGCCAACTAGCTGGGTTTCATCTGTCATTAGCTACAGCGATTAGGAATATATCTACTACAGATTCCACCATTTATCGTCATCATAAACCTCAATATAAATAAAAACATAACAAAAGAGGTAACTGAACTATTAACAAACTGTCTTAAATCTAAAAAATCTGCTGGTTATGATGGTAGATGTTCTGAATTATTGAAACATGGCTCAAATTATTTAACTAAATCACTAACAAAATTATTCAATTTAATACTAGATGCAGGTATATTTCCAGACATGTGGAATACCAGCATCATAACACACCTATATAAGAAAGGTGACAGTCATGATCCAAATAACTATAGGGGAATTTTTTTGCTCCATCATAAACTCAAGACTTACACAATACTTGGAGGACAAAAAAATTATCAACAGTATCAAGCAGGTTTCAGAAAAAAATCATCGCACAACAGACCAAATATTTGTACTTAAAACAATAATTGAAAAATATCTTAAAAGGAATAAAAAATTCTATTTAGTAAATGTAAAGTAAATGTTTGATAACAGAAAAGTTATGTAGATTGTCATTCGTGTACTTCTATACTCCTCTATAGATATGTGATTTACTCCAGAGGTGTTTTTGTAAATTTACCCCAGCTTTCTCCGCATTTAAAAGAGCGAAGCACAGAAAAAGACGGAGGAAGCTTTAGCGAAGCAGAGAAACACGCGGAGGACGTTTTCGCAAAGCGGAGAAACAGACAGAGGACGTTTTAGCGAAGCGGAGAAACAGACAGTGGACGTTTTAGCAAAGCGTAGAAACAGACAGAGGACGTGATAGCAAAGCGGAGAAACATACAGAAGACGTTTTTTTCAAAACGGAGAAACAGACAGAGGACGTTTTAGCAAGGCGGGGAAACATACAGAGGACGTTTTAGCACGGCGAAGAAACATACAGAGTACGTGTTTTTCAAAGCGAAGAAACAGGACGTTTTAGCAAGGCGGAGAAACATACAAAGGACGTTTCAGCAAAT